GACTGGCTGGTATGGCAGGCTATTACCTTGGCAGCCGAAATCGACATCGAAGACAGAGGTGGTGTAAATCTTGAAGTCAAACACATATTTACACTATTAGCTCACATTATTAATTCAATTTGTAGAGATCGTGTCATTCAGGAAACTTATACATCGTCGTCACCTAGTGCCGAATCGTCTAGTATGGCCAATGCTAGAGGTTTTGGTGCAACAAGAAGAAGATAGTTCAATTATTTGTAATTATCTCGACTTACGCAATACGTTATTTCCAAATTTCACCTACTACATATAAATTAAATAGTCATTTGTGTTATCTAATCGAATGCCAATTGACAAATATATAATCCAAAGAAACATAATTTTAAAAGAACTTGCATTATTGTTTTGAAGTTTTCCGGCTCTGCCATTCGCAAGTTTTGTTTAAAGCAGCATCATATCACCTGTAGGTCATGTGATAATATCAAAATAAAGGGTATAAATAAGACAAATTTCGGATGAAGTGATCTCAGCGGGGAACTTGAATCTCTTTGCAAACATTATGTATTAAATAAACAGATACTGCGAACTTGACAAACATGATAAAAATTGTACCGCTTGGAGCTGGTCAAGATGTTGGCCGCAGCTGTATTCTCGTGTCCATGGGTGACGACAGTACGGGTATAAAAAATATAATGTTCGACTGTGGAATGCACATGGGATATAACGATGATAGAAGATTTCCAGATTTCACGTATATCTCTAAGTCCAAACGCTTCACTGAACAGCTGGATTGTGTGATCATCAGTCACTTTCATTTAGATCATTGTGGTATGTCATTTACACAAAGCATTCGTTATTTTTATGTCATATTGTAAAAGTAATCTCAACCATCTTAGGGGCACTACCGTTCTTTACCGAGATGTGTGGGTACGAGGGCCCTATATATATGACTCATCCAACCAAAGCTATCTGCCCTATTCTGCTTGAAGATTACCGAAAGATTACTGTTGAACGGAAGGGCGAAACAAATTTTTTCACGTCGCAAATGATTAAAGATTGCATGAAAAAAGTCACCGCCGTAAACCTTCACCAAACAATTAAGGTTAATGACGACGAGGATTTGGAAATTAAGGCATATTATGCCGGTCACGTTCTTGGCGCAGCAATGTTCTATGTGCGCGTTGGCACAAAGTCAGTTGTTTACACTGGAGACTACAATATGACTCCAGATAGACACCTCGGTGCAGCATGGATTGACAAGATCAGACCAGATGTCTTAATTACCGAATCCACTTATGCCACTACGATTCGTGATTCAAAACGATCACGTGAACGGGATTTTCTGAAAAAAGTACACGATTGCGTTTCACAAGGTGGTAAGGTTTTGATCCCCGTGTTTGCGCTCGGTAGAGCTCAAGAACTTTGCATTTTAATTGAAACATACTGGGAGAGAAATAATCTCAATGTACCTATTTACTTTTCCGCGGGCATGACGGAAAGAGCCAATGATTACTATAAACTCTTTATCAACTGGACTAATGAAAAAATCAAGAACACCTTTGTAAATCGAAATATGTTTGACTTCAAACACAGCAAACCATGGGATCGACAGTACATGGACTTACCGGGACCTGCTGTACTATTTGCAACACCTGGCATGCTTCATATAGGAACGTCTTTAGAAGTATTCAAGAAATGGGCACCATACCCCGAAAATATGGTCATCATGCCCGGTTTTTGTGTAGCAGGAACAGTTGGTGCCAAGGTACTTGCTGGTGACAAGGAGGTTCAAGTTGATGCTTATAATAAAGTTCAGGTCAAACTGCAAGTAAAGAATTTATCATTTAGTGCTCACGCTGATGCAAAAGGAATAATGCAGCTGATAAAGCATTGTGATCCTAGAAATGTGGTATTGGTACACGGAGAGAAAGCGAAAATGGAATTTTTGCAGGACAAAATTAGACGCGAGTGCCGAATCCCTTGTTATTCTCCCGCAAATGGAGAGACTTTAACAATAGAAACTCCGTTATCCATTCCGATTGATATCTCGGTGGACCTGCTCAAACGTCATATGTCTGCTCAGAAAATACCATTACCAATAACTGGTGATAAAATAGACGTAACAAAAATCAAACCGGTGGACGAAATATCAATTCAGGGCGTTTTAAAAATGGAGCAAGATCAAGTTCCACGTTTGATGGATGTTGATGAAGCTGTCCGTGATGCACGGATACGTCTATTTGAAATTGATTTTAATATACTTAAGATATTTGACCCTAATCAATTGCAAGATACTGATTCTGGAAGAAATGATATAAGAATTAGAGCTTTGGATCGTGTATACGAATCCGTTAAAAAAGCTATCGAGAAGGATTTACCAGACATTGAATTGTCCAAAGACATTTCCCAGTTTAGGGTAAAAAATGTGTTAATTAGCATTCCGGATGAAAATTCAAAAAATGCATTAAGTGTTTCCTGGAACTCAAAGGATCAAAGCTTGGCCGAGTACTTGATCTCAATTATTGATGATGTCCTCCCTGAGCCAAACCCTTTTTCGGACGATTTTATGGGCAGTTAATAATAAATCGATTTCTTATTGTTTTCATTTTCATTTCACTTGGTTTTTTACTGGTCACATGACATCGGTTGTGCTACGTAAAAAAAAACACGTATACGCTCGACATAAAATTTATTATTGTTCGGGGAGAAGAAAAAACCGAAAAAGTTATAATATGGATGATTCACTATATGACGAGTTCGGAAACTACCTTGGGCCAGACTTACCTGAGTCGGATGAGGAGGAGGAGGTTCCTCAACCCATGCAAGAAGTCGAGGACAACTATGAGGATGGTGAAACAGAAGAAACAGGTGTCCCAGGCATGGAACTTATGGAGATAGACGGTCAGCAAAATAAATTTCTCAGTTCCCTCCCGAAATGTCACTTATTAATCATAGATACTTATGAAATGCTCTTAAATACTTTTTCGCTCGATGCTTTTTAAACTCGTGTTGATTTCTACTTTTTCCGATGCACTTTTTTGAGACGCGAGTTTAACCTTACACGTCTTTCCTTATTATTTCTATTGCTTTTTATATCCAACTGATAGCTGGGCTTCCTTCTTACAGATATTCCTCAGACCCAAGTTGTTCTTCATGAAGATAAAAAGTATTATCCGAGCGCAGAGGAAGTTTATGGACCCGAAGTCGAGACATTAGTTCAGGAAGAGGATACTCAACCTTTGTCTGAGCCAATCATTCAACCCATTAAGATTAAAAAGTTCCAAATTCAAGAAAAAGGTCTCCCCGAGACAAGATTCAAGAAAGAGTAAACATTTTATCCATTTAACATTTGCTCATCATTCAAACTTTAATAATTTGCTAATCATGGCTAAATATTAGGTTCATGGTAGACATGATGAATTTTCCTGAATTGGTTAGAAATATCGCCATAATTGGTCATTTACACCACGGCAAAACCTCCTTCGTTGATATGTTGGTTAATGAGACTCATTCATCAGTGGCATGGGACGTGGATAAACAGGTTCATATTTAATCGCCACTGTTCTAAAAAAAAAAAAAAAATTGTTATTTTTAAAGATGATAATTCTAAATTACAGGAGCGATACACGGATACTCATACACTTGAGAGAGATCGAGGTGTCAGCATCAAGAGCATGCCAATGACTCTTGTTTTACAAGACACAAGACCAAAATCGTATCTTTTTAACATATTAGATACTCCAGGTAAGTATTTTGGCATGTCAACAACGTTGCTTCCATTCGACAGATGAAGTTTAACAGATAACCATCATTCCTTCTACAGGACATGTTGACTTCGTGGATGAAGTTACCGCGGCGCTTCGACTGTCAGATGGAGCGGTTATAATAGTGGACGCTGTTGAAGGGGTACAACCTGTTATTCAAAAATTTTTCTTCACAACCTTTATATGAATCTTAATTTTTCACGCGTTGACCTTTTTTTTTTGCAAAACAGGTTATGGCTAATACTGAACGTGTTATAAAACATGTTATCCAAGAAAAATTGGCATTCACAT